TAACAATGCCAGTGACTTGTGACCCCCACATTCCTCTGAGGTAGTTATACAAATGTTGCACACACAACAACAGGCCTATATAAAAAGTTTAACCTGGTGCTATAAAATCTACCCACTATTTTTATCTTCTGTAGGTTATGGATAAAATATGGTCATTCTAATAGTTTAATCAAATTTATTTGACTTTTGGAAATGACTAAGCAACCCCCACTTTGGGAACCAGGTAGGTTTTCAACCTACGCTGTAAAACCCAATAAGTTAAGGTAACTTAAACCATTTTAAAAAACCGATTGCATCAAACCATTTAAGTTCAAAACTAATCTTAATGAGTACTGTGAACTTAATCCATTTGAGTAAATGAAGCAATTTAAGCACAGTAAAACCCAATAAATGAAGAGAACTCAAACCAACTGAGTACTGTAAAACCCAATAAGTTAAGGCAACTTAAATCGTTTGAGGAAACTGATTACTACAAACCATTTCAGTAAAAAAAAACTAATCTATATATTAGTTACTAACCTATAGTTAGTAACTTTCATAATTAAAAAGTGATATAAAGGACACACTGTACACAAACATGTAAATAGATAGATGGATAGATAGCCATGATGCAGGTTATCATAACAAAAACCGGTATAATCGGTGAGAAACTGAAACGCCTAGTGTTATTTTTAATTGCTATTAATGTGTGTGTAAATATACTTCAATTTATAAAAGTTCATGCTAGTTAATACTACAGTGTGCTGTTGCATTCATTAACAAAGTTGTAGATACTGCAGTATATACAATATAATACAGTTTACTATAGTTAGTATGGTTCAAAAACGTAATATTATTTACTATAAATACTATTACAACTTATTTCATGTGGGTTGAATCGTATCTTTAGAACCATATAACATGATTGAAAGCAGCTCCTAGATAACTCATAACTGTTTTCTTATATAAGAAACAAACAAGAGAAGCACCTAGCACAGTCCTTAGCTTAGCTAACAGTATTGAACATATAGATAATTATTAAAAATCATAACTTACCCTCTGATTGCTCGAGGCCTCCAACAACGTGAGCTGCCCTGTGTCCTGACAAACAGAAACGCCCCATCTCATTGGCTGGCTCTAGCCAATAAACTGGCTTTGCTGCTCTTTTACTGGTATGTACATTTCCGCAAAATTAATGATTTTTAACAAGAATCTCTTCCAGAAAAGAGTTGAAATAAACCCTAAATAATAAAATAATCGTGGGAAATGATTCTTTTGCACCTCAGTCCTGTTGGCTGCTGGCATTGTTCATTGGTCAGGCATCAGCCAATCAAACAGCTTTACACCTGCCCCGCCCCTCCCCCGCCCCGCGCTGCTCACGCCTCTGCATCTGCAAGTGCACAGATGGGTTCTGCTACAGAGATCGCGGGAGATGTGTAGCAAAAGTCAGAGCGCGGGAGATTTGTAGTTGTACTGACAAAACTGAGAGGTTGTGAGTGCCGACCTGTGGTTGTAGAGATAAGATGCAATCAAATTTGCCGTGCACACGTGTGTCTGTCATTTTGTATTTGTAAATGACATTTTACAAATACACAACTATTAATCTGCAACTTCCAATTTAAAACACAAGTGTGTGGATTGTTGTGTGTGTGCGCAAATCGAGGGATTCAGCTGTTCACATCAGAGCTGTGAGTGTACATTTCAACCTACACATACAAATATTATTATCACAAGTGCTCACATTTACATTTGCAAGCTCTCGAGTTACGCAACTGATTTACCTTCATAATAAAGCTTCAAAAATTGCAACGAATGAACACTTTAAAGAAACAATGTACAAATAAAATAAAAATGAAAATAAAACATTCACTTAAAACATTTCAAAATATCCCAAAAGTCCAGTACAGGTGATAAACTTTCAAAAAGATTTTTTTTTTTTTTTGCAAAACAACTAGGTTGCAAATTCAGTTCCAGAGATCCAGGATGTTGCACTTGTGAGTGTGTTGTAAATTTACACTCTTACCATGACGCTGAATAGGTTGTACTTTGTATCTTTCCAACAGGTGTATTCAAATAATCCACTTAATGGGAGGCTCGCCAGTCCAACTCCACAATTAGACATGCACCGATGGAAGTTGAGACAATCCAAATCCAGAAAAGAGTTCACACTTCAATTAATTCGAATCCAGAGCAGATCACATCCAGCAACTGACGTCAATAGAACATCTCACCGATGAAAAACCAGAAGAAGATGCACAAACGAACAAAACAAAGGGAAAAAAAAACTTGGCCTTGAAAACACAAGGCCAAAGAAACCATTAGCATTTTACAGTGTATGTATTATCTCAGCTTAACACATTTCTAAATAAACAGCAACAGTAAATAACCATGTATATGCTTCTCTCTGCTGAATTTCTGTGTTTTTCCTATTTCTCTCTCCTATTTGGCATTTTCTTTTTACAAATGACAGCATTTTACTTAAACTCTCTCACTTAAACTTTCCACTATCACTTGTATAATACTCTGTATAATACTGTGTTTTACTAGACCAAACAAATGGTTAATTAATAAAACACATTTTTAGACACTAGTTTCAATCATGTTATAATGAAAACAATAAAAAAAACAGGAACTGACCAAGGAAATCATTCAAAATCAAAGCGAAAAACCAGACAAACTCCTGGTGGCACTCGTGTGCAGATTTCACTCTCAGATACAAATCTTGTTTTTTCTCTCAATCCTTCATTAAAAATATATGATAGAAATCATTCCAGCATCTTATTAATGGTCAATTTTCACAGTTAATACGCATTTAAAACATTAAAAGATATAAATCTAATAGTTTTCTACTGTTATTAATATAACAACTTACATCTCTGCATTCCCTTGCGAACACTGAATCACCATAGCAACAGTAAACACAAGCTAACAGACGAGGGATTTGTTATTGCTTGTAAAGCTGATCTGCCGCTATAGTGGAAGCCACGATGATGTCATTCTAAAGCACTATCCGCTTGTTAAGTGGTGACGTGTTTGTGACGTATGTAATACTGTTTCCGGGTCCAAGCCGCCATTCATTTGAGTGGAGAAATCATTCGTTTATGATCACGTTTTATTCCTATCACACATTAAAGTTAATTGTATATAAAATCATAGTGTACACAACAATATCTGGGCTTGCTGCATAACAAATACCAAAAATTTACCAATTTATAAAAAAATAATCACTTTCTGGCCATCGGATATTAGGCATGGACATATATACTGCAATCGTGATTTTCTAAAGCCTTAAATCTCTTAGTAAACATTTATTATTAACATTTCATGAGTCTCCCTATTCAGTTGAATAAAGCGCTTGGACCCGGAAGCCGCTTCGCGTGACGTCACACTTAAGCGGATTCCCTTGAATGCTGTATAATACTCTATTATAAATTATTTACATAAATAAATAATTTTAATATATATTATCTAATCGAGTATTCTGCCAATGTTTTTTTTCTCATATTTATAAGGGTATATCTATTTGCTATATTGCTGTGTACTACCCACTAGTAACCTGGGTTACATAAATGAGTACTGTGAACTTACTCCACTTCAAGAGTTCACACTTTGATAATGCTCGACTAATAGCAAATTTGACATGCTGTCTCAGGAGAGAACCCTGAGCTCGGAAATAGATGAGCCCAAGGTTCCCACCTTATTAATAAGCATTAGGAGGCATACGAGGTCAGGTATTTTATGAGAGCCCCTAGTTTGTTTTTTTACCTATACTTTGGTTAATATGGTGGTTCTATAAGAATCGATTCAGTATGTATACGTTAAGTGCTTGTGACTGTTATTACAATTTGCTTATGTACACAGGAAGAACTTGCAAACTCCGATAATAAAATTGAGGAGGAGGGAGAAGGGATGGATAGAGGGTGGAGAGGGAATGAAGTTTAGGCAGGATATTTATAGTAATTTTTGAATGATCCGATAGGCTAGCTAATGATTAGCAATAGAGACCAGCTGTAGTCTTTCTCTTCCCGAAATTAGTTTGTGAAACTTCACTTAAATTGAAGTAATGAGGTATTTAATTAACTCATGATCTTCAACACTGAGTTCAAAACTCTTTTCAAATGAGTAGAATTAACTTTCAGTACATTTTGAATTAACTACACTCATTTCATTTGATAAAGTTGACTGTTGGGTTTTACAGTGTTAAAAAAAGGCAATTTTTGTTTAAAAACATTTTTCTTTGTGATCGGTGTCAACAAGCTCCAGCCACTCTTTTTCATACTTTCTGGCTTTGTCCAGCGCTAAACACTTTTTGGGCATCAATTTTTAAATCAGTTTCTGAATGCTTTCTTTTAGATATTGAGCCATGCCCCCTTGTAGCATTATTTGGACCTAACCCTACAAATGTTTCCTTGTCATCTACACAATCAAAAGCACTCGCCTTTTGTTTAATAATTATAAAAGGCTTAAAACACTGAACTGGAAAAATCCTTCTCCACCCAGTGATGTACATTGGATGCATGATCTGATGCTGTCTATGCAAATAGAAAAGGTTAGATATACAGTTTGCGGTAATACTGACAAATTTGACACTATTTGGCAACCCTTCCTCTTACACTTTAAAAATAAAAATAATAAATGTGTATATGTATGCAAGTATATAGCTGAGCTATTTTCCCTGCCCCTGGCTTAGTTATGAAGAGAGTGTCTATTTATTTCTTTATATATATATATATATATATATATATATATATATATATATATATATATATATATATATATATATATATATATATATTTTTTTTTTTTTTTTTGATTTATTTTTCTTTTTATTAATTTATTTTCTACTGCTGTACTCTTTGCTTATTTGTACTTATATATTTTCTATATTGTTGTTTGGCCTTATTTTTTATTATTATTTACCTTAATGCAAGAACAGAGTTAAACTAAAAAACATACTTCTGAAAGCAGTGTGTGTGGGAATACTATGATTAGAATATTGAAGGAGAAAAAAATGACAACCATTTAGCCAAAAGTCTATTTATTCACAAAACATATAACTACATTTATCAATGTGGCAAAGGGAATGCATTGATCACAAGTTTTGGTCACATCGTTTATCCTGAACCAAAACTATTACAGTCTCTTCTGTCAATCTACAACATTTAGAACATAGGGCTCAAACTCAATTCCTGGAGGGCTACAGCTCTGCACAGTTTAGCTCCAAAGCTCCAATCCTGATCAAACACAGCTAACAGTGTTCAAGACTGTTTTTAGATCAGCTGTGTTTGATCGGGGTTGGATCAAAACTGTGCAGAGCTGTAGCCCTCAAGGAATTGAGTTTGAGACCTATGATTTAGAGAAACCACCTCACCAAACAGAGCCTCATCACAGGTGGGAACCAATGGCATTTTACACAGTTCATTATAATACGTGAAACGTTCCGGTCCAATACAATACCCAAACAGTCCAGTACTAGCAATTACAAAAATAGAGGACTTCACCAAGGAATACTGTTGGTAAAAATAAAAAGTGAGCTTTGATTTATGAATTTTAGTTATGTGGAGTATAATGACATTTAATAAAAACTTAGAGTAAATTCAGTATTCATGACAACTGTATGAAATGTAAATTTAGCACAACAGTCCTAAAGGGAAGAGGGCGAAACCTACAGTAGCCCCCTTTTATAGTGACATTAAGTTGTGCAAGTATTGAAAAATAAATCCCACAATCCATGGGTTGGAAACGTTGTTAGTGGTTCTGAATGTGCTTTCCCACAGGTCACCTATTAGCTTCCTCATTCCAAACCATTGCTAACAAATCCACACAAATGTTTAGATTGGCTCACAGGGTCATGGAGATGAAACAAACTTACTTAAAAAAACAGTTACCCATTACCGATTTGTAGAACATCCCTTCACCGCCATGTTAATTTGTTATAAAGGTCAGTTTCTCATTTCCTGTGGTTCTAAAGTACAACGGTAACCCTGACCAATGTCAGCACAAAACTGAAAAGCAGTGGCAAGTCCACTTGAGACGCATTCGTCAAGCCAACTTTTGATAATATGTTGCCAAAATGTCTTTTACAGAACAATTCCACAGTTCTCGTCGAGGTCTCGTGTGCACAGACATACAAACACATACATCAGGTTCCTATTGCTCAAAGGATGGGGGTGTAAAAACTGAGGGAGCGGTAAGAAAATGAAATGTGTGTGTGTGTGATGCTACAGTAATGTGTGTGCGTGTGTGTGTGTATGTGAGGCCTTGAGTGCATTGCTAATCACAGGGGGTGCAGTGTGAGGCTGTACGTGTGTATCGCTATAAAAGAGTGCAACGTCTCTGTGTGTGCTTTTTGCTCTTCTTATTGCTGCGGTTGGTCTCCTTGTATCTTCGGATCTCCCTCACGAGAGAGTAAAAGGCCTCCTCCACTCCCTGTGAAAAGGAAGTAAAGAGATGGATTGAGAGTGTGTTTATACAATGATTTATTGGAAATGGAAAGACAACAAAAGTCATACAAACTATGGCTAGCCGTTTTGACATTTAATCAGTAGCCCTTACTAGTATCTATTTTCATGTTACTAGTACTTATTTTTTAGATACTAGTAACTTTTCCAGTAATAACTAGTACTTATTGATTAGATACTAGTGCTTCATAAAAATATACTAGTGCTTGCTCATTAGACACTGGTTCTTTTTATTAGATACTAGTACTCATTCATTAGATACTAGTTCTTTTTTTATTAGATACTGGTACCCAATAAATAGATACTAGAACTTATTCATTAGATATTAGTACTTATTTATTAGATTCTAGTATCTAATTAATAAGCACTAGTAACCAAGTAATAAGCACTAGTACCTATTAAATAGTACCTAATGAATAAGGACTAGTATCTAATACACAAGTACTAGTATCTCTTATTGAGGAACTAGTCCTTATTCATTAGGTACTGGTCCTTATTCATTAGATACTGGTCCTTATTCATTAGGTACTAGTCCTTATTCATTAGGTACTGGTCCTTATTCATTAAGTACTAGTCCTTATTCATTATGTGCAAGTACCTAATGAATAAGGACTAGTATCTAATACCATGGTTTCCACTACATTCATTCTTCCATGGCAGAGCACCACACCAAAATTCACCCTGCCACTGCTACATTGCTACTCATTCAAATCATTGTTTTTTTTGTTTTTAAATAGCGGGTTATAAAAAAATAAAAATAAAACAAATTGCACCAAAACGTTTTATAAGGTAAGTGAATTATAACAGCAAACATTAGAACTTCTTATAAATATAACATTAGAACACTGTAATCATAATACTGTGCGTTATTTGTTTAACCCTTTAAGGCAGGGGTCACCAATCCCAGTCCTGGAGGGCCGGTGTCCCTGCAGGGTTTAGCTCCAACTTGCTTTAACACACCTGCCTGGACGTTTCAAGTATACCTAGTAAGGCCTTGATTAGCTTGTTCAGGTGTGTTTGATTAGGGTTGGAGCTAAAATCTGCAGGACACCGGCCCTCCAGGAACAAGTTTGGTGACCCCTGCTTTAAGGTGACATGCTGACTGACTGACAGGTGCGTAATGCATGAGGCTAGCAAACACAGCGTAGCTTTCTGTTAAGATGAACAATGTTTCCATAATTATACTTAGTAGATAATAGATAATGCTATATAATACTTTAAAATTTATAGATGACTTTATCTTGCTGGAGTCAAGACGCATTAATGCCGCTCGGTAGGTCTATTGGAGACATTCATAAATATTCCTAGCAAATCTAATAAATGTTGGAGACAAACTTGTTACATAAATGCACTAAATCACACTTCAGCAGCGTTTATTTGGGAGCGAACAAGAAAATGTGGACTTGTTCATGAACAGAGGAATTCAGAGCACAAGCAAAGAGAGTCGCATGCTCATGTAACAAATGCATTCTCGACATTTGTTATTGAAATAACGCCACAGGTAGTTAGTTGATCTGTGTGAAAGGCCTGCCACCACAGCTGGAATAAATTCCAGAGGAAACACTGAATACATGAGTACTAGTATCTATTATTTAGTAACTAGTACGTAAATAATAAAGTACTAGAACTTAATGATTTACTACGAGTACATAAAAATATGTACAAGTCTCAGCTGGAATGCATACTAGTCAAAACTGAATAGTTGAAATCTCAATGACAGATCCGATAGAAATCAATGGAAACATTAAATAGTGACTAGTAACTATTCTGTTGTTACTAGGAACAAATATAAAATAAGTACTAGTATCTAATAAAAAGAACCAGTGTCAAATGAGCAAGCACTAGTATATTTTTCTAAAGCACTAGTAGAATAGTAGCACTAATAAATAGGCACTAATATCTAATGAATAAGATACTAGTATCCAGGGTTCAAACACCTGCCTGATTGTTTCAAGTATACCTAGTAAGACCTTGATTAGCTTGTTCAGGTGTATTTGATTAGGGTTGGAGCTCAAATCTGCAGGACACCGGCCCTCCAGGAACAAGTTTGGTGATCCCTCCAAAACAACAAACACTTGTCCTTCTGTCATCACAATCATTGTGTGCTTTCAGGTTTGCCGAGATGTTTCTGGAGGGCTGGGTTTGGTAGAGGGTGTGTGACTAGTGTAACATTTAAAATGTTTACATGAAATACTCTAATTAGTGTTATTTTTTTCGATCATGTAATTTTTTCTTAAATGTCATAATCAATTAAGCATCCACAGATTCACACAGCACGAGTCATTACATTCCACTGCTCTGCTTTTCAAGTTGTTTCTAATGTATTACAGGACTTTTTCACTGTCAGATTTTGAATTGACTCACAACTACACATTGCTTCCTGATCAATAATTGCTTGACGTCTTTAATCAAGTGTTTGATGTCACGGACCAGGATGAACTAGCAACTTATTTTCAGAAGAAAAACCCCATAACAAAACATCCTGCCACTGTATTGCTGCCACTGCTGTGCGAATCTTTCCTCCATTGCATAATTCAACCAACCAGCATCATCTCTCTGATTTCCCCATGTTTGAAAGCGGTGTACATAAGAGTGTGTGTGTGTGTTTCTATTGTGTCACAGATCTAACATAACCTTCTATTGAAGAACAAAGAAAACATTGAACACGCTAGTTTGACTTGAAGCATCCCAGGTGCACATCTGCTGTCTTCTTCTATGGCAAACTACATAAGACAAGATTTAAGTCCTGATGCCTATTGTTGTCTATGAATGATCACGATTGCACCAAGATCGGGGTGTTTAATGTTGAGTTCAGACTGCATGATTTTCATAGTAGTCATGTCACAGATGTTATTACACTGCAAGATGGATCGGCGACAGGGAGTTTCACACTGCATGACTTTACAATAGGAAGAATTGCAGACAATTTTTTTTTTTTCAAACTACGTCTCACAAACAAAAACACAAAGTATATAGTTTGTTATTAACGACATTGAGAAAGAAACCTTTAATAGGCTAGAACATGTACATATTTGAAGGGAATTAGCTTTTTTTTTTTGACCCAGTTGAGACACAGTTTGTCAAATTTCCACTAGTTTTTCCTCCATTTCTTGGGTCCAAATAAACTGAAAATGAGTACTTTAAACTTCTCCCCAACCTCCCACTGACCTGCAGATACCCATACTAGTGGATACTGTTCTCTCATTGGCTGCAGGTAAATTGCTGATGTTATTTTCAATCAGAGCACATTTTACACGGCATGATTTGAATCGACGACAACTCCAGATATTAAAGGGCCATGAAACCCCCTCGTTTCAGCAGGGTGTTTTCACACCTCTACTTTGGAAAAAGTCAGAAAAGTGGGCGTGTCCAGCTCTGTTTAGGGGGGAGTGTCGGAGGAACTAAAGTGGGAGGGTGTGGGAGTGTCTATTTGGGCACGCGCGAGTTTCAGTCAAAATACTCACACACAGTAGAAAGTGATGGTGTTTAACCTACATGGACATCTGTAGTGGAATTATTTGCCAAATTATTAAATGGTGGACTTTAACTGCAGTTTGGCTCTTTCATTCAGGGAATTCATTCATGCCCCTCGCGACAAACAAGATATTTGATTCGAGGATCTGCTCTAAGCGTGTATTTTTTATGCAATGTTTGATACCGCACGGCGAATGAGAGAAAAAAAAAAACCTCAGCATTTTCTGGAAACTTAGATGCACACGGCAGGTAGCGTCAGAAAGCCGCGTGTGTTATTCCAGTCACTAAATGCGGTAAAAACCCTACACGAGGTTAAAGTGTGGTTGTGGTCCTAACATGTTACGGTGCAATAGTTAACTTAGTTCGATATGAACAAACTGAATAAACAAAGAGCACTGGTCGCTCACTTACCAAATCTGTAGAGACAGGACAATCCACAGCAACTAGAGCTGCGTCTTTATGAAGAGAATACTACAAGCAAATTCGGATCTCAGCGTTTGCAGATGAGAACAGCTCTCAGGTAAACAATAATCCTCCTTAGACACGCAAGTTATTGTTGTCGAGCGTCGCGTACACTGTTAATCCACACGTGAGTCTGAGCTCTCACAGAGAGAAAAAGAAAACGAAACTTAACGGCAGCAAACTATAAAAGCAACACTTCACGCTTGTTTTGCCAACACAACGTGGCGTCTATGTCGTGTAAACACAGTAATGAATATTAATGAAGTTGCACAATAGAGCGCGCTGATTGGTTTGAACCAAGCCCTACTCATGCATTAATGCAACACACTGCAAGACGTAATAAGACACACTCTGGCACAGACGTCCAGTCTGCACGCTGGAATACAACGCTATTATGTCATGACTGTGACGCAGCTTCAAAAATTAGTTTCAAACAGGAAGTACGAATTTGCTTGAAATAACGCAAAAACAACCAATTTACGCTTTTTAGTGAAATATAGGTGTCTTAATAGTGTTTTTAGCAGTGTGGGACACATATACGACTGTCAACAGCTCAAAAAATGTGTTTTGGTGTTTCGTGACCCTTTAAGCATGCCAAATATCTCACGGGCATCGGCGACTCATCGCTGATTCTTTGAGATTATGTCTTTGATAGTTCACACTGTGTGATTGTTACTTGCGTGTACACACACCGGCTTGCCTGTGATTTTAGGCATTTGTCTGCTATTTCTCAACCTGTCGGCGAGTCAAAAATCAGGGCTAAAATCATGCAGTCTGAACTTGGCATAAATGATAGTCCACAATAGAGATGTCACGATACCAGTATTTTTTTAGTCTTATCAAGTAAGAATCCAAAGTAATTACAAATTTCACTTAAGCGAGTTGTTCTTTTGAAGAGATTGTTGTGGTCGTTGTAGCTAAATCAGATTAAACCGATTCAGATACGTGTTTGAAGCGTCAGAAAACTGAACGCTTAATAAAATGAAAATAAAAGTGGTCTATAGGGCTGTGCAATTATATAAAATTCAGTTTTGATTTCGGCTTCTAACGATTATGAGAAAACATTAATCGAGATAAACGATTATTGCATCATATCCCGCTCCTTTCCAGTTGTACACATTTGTTGTTCTGCAAAGCTCAGTTTCATGTGAGAATGGCTAAAGCATGTACTGTAAAGTAATTTTGCAGAAGGGAATGCGCATCATTCACTGATGTACATTGGAATTATACATGTTTTTAAAAGCACGAAAGAGATCGCATGCTGTTGTGTTTATGCGCTCAGCCTCAGAGACGGCCAGAGCACACACATCTAAAGTCATCTTAATGCGAGCGCTTTAATGGTCAAATACATGCAGATTTGTGCAACGTGATGTTTAGTGATTATTCATATTAACCCCCATTTATGTAATAAACAAACAAGTTGAGAATCAAGACGTGAAAGTGAAATCAGAATTGTACTGCTCTTAAAGTGACAGCGCGCAATATTCCTGCTGCTGACTGTTTTTATCATTAATCAAACAAAAAGGACAAAATCACTTACTGCTCTTGACTGAAGGACTTTTGTAGCAATTATCGTTTTTTCTTACAGCGAAGATGCTTAAAGCAGTTTGTTTCATATTTTTTATTCTGTTGTATTTATTTCCCTTTCCTTGTTCACAAGGAGTAAAATAACTGTACAGTTAAAGTCTGAATTATTAGCGGCCCTTTATATTTCCCCCCCAATTTCTGTTTAACGGAAAAGACATTTCTAAACAAAATAGATTTAATAACACATTTCTAATAACGGATTACTTTCATCTTTGCTATCATGACTGCTCAACTGAAACTCATAAATGTTTGGAACCACTTGAGGAAGTGTAAATAGCAAGTGCATTTTCTTTTTTTTGTCGGTGATCTCTTGAGTATTTCAATTCATCTTTATTTCTTTAGCACTTTTTGATAATGTGCATTGCGTCAAAGCAGCTTAACAAGAATAGACAATAACATTATTAAAATTGTGGCACATTCCAGCAAGTCAGATAGGCGGGAGGGTAGCGTAGTGTGCTGGTGTAGTTTTAGTTTAATTAAAACTGATTCAGTTCAGTTTAGTATAAATGAAACTGTTGTTTAGTTTTTTGTTCAGATAATGTAATGCAAACGTCACTACTGAAGAGCAACTCCACAGACCACAAAAATAAAACAAATACAGTATAAAATGCTGAGCAAAATGAAATTGATCATTCACATATAATGTGATTGCTTTTCAAAGCATGATACAAACATCTGAAATAAAAAAAAAATAAAATAAAAAGTAAAAAAATAATTAATTATAAAAATATATATATATATATATATATATATATATATATATATATTTTTTTTTTTAACAAAGACATTTTTTGTAATCCTTTAACGTGCACACTAATGCATACTATTTAGGTAAGATTTTGTAAGATTAGTTACAAAGTAGCTAGTTACTGTAACAATTACTTCTTTGGTAAAAAAGTAAGGGATTACATTTCATTTATAGATCATTTATTAAAATGCACTATCCTTAAATACGGTACATTACTTCAACTGTCCTATATAAATCAATTCAGAGAAGCAAAGTAATTGTATTTTTTGTTATACAAATATATTTATATGAACATTTGCATAGAAGGATGGAAAAGCACAAATGTCAGCATTCTGCACCCACCTGACGCGTCTTGGCCGATGTTTCAACAAATGGGACCCCGTAACTTCTGGCCAGTTCTTGGGCTTGACGTGTGTCTACAGTACGAGATGTCAGGTCACTTTTGTTCCCCACCAGCACCATCGGGACATTATCGCTGTCTTTGACACGGTTTATTTGCTCCCTGCACAGACGCAAAAGCACAACGTGGTTCATTTTTCACTCTGACTTGTTTGTGAAATTCTGCTACGCTAATGCAACTCCGGGTTTCCTTATTCTACAACTTCAAGTGGTATAAAAAGGAAGCTAGCATACTAAGTGATGTCATCGTGCCGACTAGACATCTCTGACCTGTCATTTGTTGAAAAACAAAAACAAAAAAACAAAAACAAAACTGTTTTTAGTTTCCTTTTTCTGTTAAACAAAGGAAGATTTGCAGATGAATGTTGGGGAAAATGCCATTGATTAGGTTTTGTTCCTACTATGGAAGTCAATGGCTGTTTTTTCCAACGTTCTTCAAAATATCTTACACAGAAGAAATTATTATTAGTTTAGAACAAGTTAAGTGAGTGAAAATTTATTTTTTCGGGGTGATCTGTTGCTTTAAGAAAATATAATATTTAAGCAAACGTAACATAATATAAGTATTTAAAGTATAGTCCTCTCAACAGGAAAAAAATATTTAAGCAATTCCAAATTTGATTATCTGTGTGAATGAACAGCACAAATATTTAAATAATCAATATTTTTTGTTAATGAAAACATTAGTCACCAATTGGATGGAAACTAAAGTTATTGCTGACTAATTTACCACAAAATATTGTTCCAAAGAAGGAAATGCAGTCATGCGGAAAGTTTTGACGTTAGTTGTTGATGAATTTCTTTTACGAATAGAAGTTTGTCTGTATTTTTCATTAGGTACCTGTAAAGATGTACGTCCTCAAAGGACTTGGCATTGTTGATGGCAAACACACAAAGAAATCCCTCTCCTGTCCTCATATACTGGTCTCTCATGGCACTGTACTCCTCCTGACCTGCAGTGTCCAGGATATCCAGCAAACAAGTCTCTCCATCAATCACAACCTGCTTTCTGTATGAATCCTGCATGGGTCAAAAAATATACATTTTAAAAATCAAGCTTAATTATCACACCCGAGTTTTTACCCAATTCATAGTTTTCAGTAGGACCAGACAGAATCTGCAGACATATTTTGCTATTTCGGATAAAAAAAAAAAAAACTGTAGATTTATGCAGAATGATTTTGGGAGCATCAGAACTAAAAATATATATGAAATAAAATAAAAAAAAACACCTTTTTGTTTAATGTTTACAATGCAAATGCAATTAGATCCACTTATTTGGAAAACGAAGCAAGTCTCTCGTATAATATCTCTACTAAAAGACAGAAAATATTACTTCACAAACTGTATTATAAATAAATCAAATGAACATTTTCATATTAGTCAACAATATTACAGAAATTAATTTCTAAAAATGAATAAATATAAATGCACACATATACACAAGTAAATAAAGACTCAATGATGGGCCAAAAATCTGAGGACTACTGCGTGCGCAGATTCCGTGTGGACCTAGTTTTCAGTCACGTGACCTGTGCAAAGGCTTGCGAACAAAAAAAAAAAAAAAATTTGCAGCTACACTAGGATTTTGATCGGAATGCAGCACAAAAGTCATAGGTTTCAGACTACAAATAACTGGATCACAAATCAACAGAAAACAGAGATGGATGGTTTCCGCTACATTCATTCTTCCATGGTGGGGTGCCACGCCAAAATTCATCCCGCCATGGCTACATTACAGCTTCCACTCAAAACATTTTTTTTTAATAGCGGGTAATAATTGCACCAAAACGTATTAAAGGGTAAGTGAATTATAATAGCGCAAACTATTCTGTAACCGTAGTAGTGCTGGCCATCATTTGTTTACCCTTTAAGGTGACGTGCTGACTGACTGACAGGAGCGTGATGCGTGAGGCCAGCAAACACGACGTATAGCTGGTTCACTTTACTTCAGGACGCATTAATGCTACTCTGTAGGTCTATTGGAAACATTCATAAATATTCCTAGCAAATCTAATAAATGCTGGAGACATACTCATTACATAAATGCACTAAATTGCACTCAGCAGCGTTTGTTTAAGAGCGCACAGAAGATCTGCGTGTTCTTGAAGTGGCTTATATTTGAAGGGGCGTGCAAGAAGTTGTACACGAGCAGAGGAAATCGGCGCGCAAGCAGAGATTTGCATGCTTGTAGGCTATTACATAAATGCGATCCCGACTTCTAATACTGCGCTCACGACATTTGTCATTGAAATAAAGCCACAGGTAGTTGGTAAATCTGTGTAAAAAAAAAAAAAGGCCTGCTCCCAGAGCTAGAAAAAATCCTAGAGGAAACACTGGAGATGTGATCACAAACTGTCAATTGTGGGCATTTACGATCCATATTCTGCACCCACAGCTGTTTTTTTATTTATTTAAACCCTCATGTCTATGTCAGAGCTACAAGTCAGCGATGTTTACATTATCTTTTGAAAATTCCTCACGATTTAGTCATTATTGATGGCATTGTAGGCCTTTTTGCAGCGCTGTACAACAGAATTTTGCATGCTCAAACTCTAGTTTGACCGCAACATAATGCTTTATTTGCATTTAACCTTCAAATTAGAACCAGGTGTGTCTGATTGGGTTGAAACTGAACTTTGCAGGACACTGGCCCTCCAAGTTTGAGCACCCCATGCTCTATAGGAATTCTGCAGAAGCACAGCCCAGGAGTGTCTCACATCAGTTATTAACGCTATATTTTTTTAGCAAAACAAAAGTGAAATTCCTCAGACCCATGACTTGGCGGTCAGCGGGAGATAGTAATGTTTGTGGGGACATTCCCTTATTAATGTGACATGTGAAAACTATCAATAAAATGCTCAAGCAAAAATTAAATGTAAAAAAAAAAAAAAAGAGAGAGAGAGTGTTTTGAGTTTATTGCCATTTCAGCTTGTGTCATGGCAAAAACAAATACAGTTGACAAGCATTTTAGAAATATTACTTTTCTATAATAAAAAAGGTTTATAACAATAAAAAGACACAACCAGCAATAAATAATTCATTAAATAAGAAAATATACTTAATTTACATATAATATATACGTATAATAAAACAGTTTAAGATATTTAATGTAAAAGAAAAATAATAAGCTTTACAATACCTCAATTGTGGGATCGTACTCATCTACGAAGTGATTCTGAATGAGCTGGATGGTCAGTGCACTTTTCCCAACACCACCCGCACCGACAACGACCAGCTTGTATTCCGTCATTCTGGATGGAAGTTAAATAGTTAGAAGGTTAAAAACAGATAGCAGCAATCTGACTGGATATAATCAAAAGCAAAAATGGGGGAAAACAAATACAAAACACCTTTTATTACTAGTTAACTACTCTAATTTTATAGCGCTGTGCAATATGACAATTTATACAACAGTTCTGTCTGGTTCTTAAATCTGACTGGTTGATAGCTGTGCCAGTAACAGCACTCGTACTGCCTCTTCACCCTTAACCCTTGTGTATTACTCCGGTCACATACAGCAACACTCTAGTTTGACAAATTTTGCTGCTGTTGGACAACATGTACTTTTGAGGTTTTTTAGTCAGGAATGTAGTCGTTTAGTTAGCAACTATGCAATTTATTTACAAGGATAGTGCCTCTTAAAATATTTATAATTTCTGAGACAGCACGTCGGTGGCCATAAGCCTGTCTGAGCAGACCGAAGACAGTTGACGTTGTCCATCTACAAAATGGCGAAAGAGACCACATATTAAGCCCTTAGAAGATAAAACAATGCATTTTGTAACTATAACTGATCAATAATTATTGAACGCGTAAGTGATATTATAAGTCAATCTCTCTCTTTTGTATGTTGTAGTGCTGTATTTTTACCATATAATTGTAGTGTATTGAGTGTGAGATGGGACTCACATATGGGGAATGTGTGTTGTGTTGGCAGAAAGAAAGAAGAAATGGCCGCATCCGTTTAGGGTTTTTCCTTATTGCAAACACAACAGCAATCTGGTAGTGACCGTGCTGCTTTTTTCAGGGTTAATTATTGTGATATCCTGATTGCAACAGAGAAATACTGTAGACTGTAATAGACTGTAATAATGTAGGGAGATATCTCTGTAGACTCATTCATGTTGTTCAGCCTTATAATGTTAAAATGTCAGCAAAATCACCCGTTCACCAGATCACTAGACATTACGCTAGAGAATCATTCAATCACTAGCTCCAAAGTGATGTTGGTAAATTAGTAAAGGCTATTACTGTTCTGACAGCAGTAACTGGAAGTCATTCATTTTCAATGGGAGCCGGCAGCGAGGAGCAGTGCAGTGCGTTGAGAAGAGTTGAAATCAAGTCAACTTTATGGTAATGAGCTATGATGCGGTACGGCGGCAAGCAATCAGAATGTAGAAGTCGACCAATTGAGAGAAGTCTAGAGAACACAGTTGCTGTAAACTTTGGTTCCGACCACAGTTGTTCCCAAGGGTTTGAGGCCCCGTTTACACTAGTGCGTTTTAGTTTGAAAACGCATAAGTTTTGCTACGGTTACGCCATCCGTCCACACTACGCCGGAGCTCTCGAGCGCCGAAACGGAGCTTTTTGAAAATGCTGGAGAGGCCGTTTTCATTCTAAAACGCTGCTGCTCCGTCTCAGTGTGGATGGGGAAAGACAGAGACATCTGAAAACGGAGGCGGGGCTGCAAACGTCTGATTGGGGCTTTTCCTCAATATTAAGTAGCCCACACACAGTTCAGTCTCGCATCCTCTTCTTGTAAGTTCAGACTTCGCAAGTTTGATCAAGGCTGCAGTCTCCCCCTTCTCAGTTTGATATGGATAACATACCGAGGACACGGGTAAATCTTCAAAGGGAACAGTGTACTTTATAACTTCATTCACACCACCTTGGCTACGTTGTTTCACTTTCTCAACAATAAAATGTAAACATGATTTAAGGAACTGCCTATTTTCTTTTTAATATTAGCAACTTAACAGACAGCAGAAATGTTGAGGCGTCGTGCTGCATATATGAGCGTCATCTTCACTGTGTGGATATTTATAACAAAACGGAGCCTATAACAACTGCCTCCTTTCAATTTCAGTGAAAATACGAAACGCACCCTCTCTTTTGCTGAATATCAGTTTTAATAATCGATAATTATAAAAGTATAACATACAATAAGTTTATACATTGTAGGAAATAAAGGCAAGCGATCAGTCAATGTACCTGGATTAATCATTAACTTATCTTTGCGCTCAGCCAAAACAGGTTACCCGTGAACAAGTAACTTAATAGATTCCAATGACCAAAGTCAGGGAATTGGCCTATGTCGTTAGATAAAGACAACAACATGAATGAAATATCACGTTCAGCAAATATAGTGAGATTAGATCCAGCGGGAGATGCGTGATGAGCAGTCCGACAAGCAGAGCTCTCATCTGGGTAGAAATGCTGGAGCGCTTGCCCGAGAGTGTGTGTGTGGTCACGTGATGTGCGTTTTCAGCGTTTTGGTGTGGACGGAGAGCTGTTCAGAAACGCTGGGTAAAACGCGAGTGTGGACGCGGATCGTTTTCATTCTACAACGCCGTTTTAAAACTAAAACGCACTAGTGTAAACGGGGCCTGATTATTGCGGTCGCCGGATTTCCAATTATTTGCAATGTTTTCTTACAGAAACATGAATTTAAAAAAAGGTACTGGCGAGTAACGGATGTGCATATGTTATTTTTTTTTCCTGTAAAAAAAAAAAAAAAAAAGCATGAATCTCATGCAACAATACAAAATAGTATGACGCAGAAGTATAAATCAGCTATTACGGGTCATAGACAAATAAACAAATAAAGCTTAAAAATAGACAAATACAGCTTACTGTGTATGCTTTATTTCCCACACTTGGAAGGGAGACATTTAGAGCAACGACAATATGCATTTGCATTTAATTTATGCATTACACAGAATTACAGTCTTTATGAAATAACAATTTGTCATAACATAACATTCAAGTAAATTATCTTTTGTTGAATAAACGCTTTGAAATGGGGATATATAGACGTCAGTTGTTGGGTGATGAAAGACAGGCTGCAAATGCTGTTTGGATAATCCTTGTGATGTTTATATTCAATATGATGTTTATATTTATAAAAGGTCAGTTAGTGTTAATTTGCATGAATGTAATGTTTTAATATTTTAAAATTGTCATGCTGTAACAACATAAACATGATATAAAAATTAAATGATTGTATAGTTATATCATTTCAAACATTTTATGAAAGTTATTCATTTAACAATAACTTCAAGTTAAACACAATAATAGTATATTCTGACGTTGGTTTTTAATCAGACTTAAAACAAGGTCCATTTTTGCCAGGGAATTAAAGTTATGCGCCCTGTACAGAACTATTTTAATCTTTACGGAACACCGTTAACACCCATAATCTTCCATACACATGCATAGGCGGAATTATCCCCATCTTTTCTCAAAGCTACTGGTCCAAAAGACATCAATCAAAATTTGGATTGCCCAATAATAGATATTCATCCATATAACGATCACACAAACATGCTTATCTGGCTTTCAATGCTAAGCATGATTTCAATGTAAATTTAATATATTTACATTTTAATCAAACATTGGCCGTGAAGTACTAAATTAAGTGAGGAAAACGTTCACATATGAATGAGTACATTTCTGATTATGTATTTTAAAATCTATCAATCGAGGAGTGGTCATTTGAGTGCGCTGAATAGCAAAAAGCGTACGGAACATGGTTAGTCTACGTTACAAGAAGGCTCTTTACATGTGGTCAAAAACTATTAGTTGATCATATTTACTGAGATTGTACCATACCGTGATAAACGGTATCGCGATATCATGTTGTTTGATTTGTCATATCGCCCTGACACTCTTCCCTTTTATAGTACGAAAAACAAATGCAGTAAAACAAAAGCGAAGCTGTCATGCTGACAAACACCACCATCTTTCATGTTAAAAGAATACATAGAGAAAAGAAAGTCAACTGGGTTTGGATAAACATGAGGGTGGGTAAATTATGATGACATACATGTTTCGTGCGAACTGACACTTTAAAACCAGTAAAAACCGGAAAAGAGCCCAGATGTTACATAATATAGCAGTTAACTTACTTTTATTACCAGAAGTGTTGTGTCAACAAAACATAGTACATATATTTAATACTGCAACTGAACAAAGTTTACACAATTAAAGAGAGTTTACTAGCCGGCAAGTAGCTCAAGTGAACCAATCGCAGCTTTTTAGCGTTACCTTAACAGATATCAACAGGTAAGAAGTTGCTTGTTGTCTTTTTTCCCTGTGTTTTACCTCGTGTGTAGCTGTTAAATCAGTTGGGATCGTCCAAACGAAGCGCTTCGGGATGAATTAGTATTGAATGAAGTCCAAAGGATTAGCCAATGAGCCACATTACGATCGACAGACAAACTAAACTGTCCCGAGAGTCGAAGACAGGCCTCAATTAATCCGTCTGGTTCCACTTCACCGGTGAAAATACATTAAAAAGCTTCGTGTGCTCGCTGTGTTTTCCTTACTCCGCCGAAAAATCGCACAATAACCTTAATAAATCCACCCGTAGAGGCATTAGCTCCTCTCGGCTAAGACTCTCCCAGATTCATAGAGGGCGAGGAGGGAGGCGGGATCAGCGGAGGAGATGACCAATGAGGTGTAGCCGGCGCTTCAGGCTTTTAATTCTATTGGGGGACAAATAAACGGAAGCAAGTATTGACCAATGGTTGACCAATGCCTTTTCCAATTTCTCCATCATGTCCCGCCCTGGAAAATCTAGGCCAATTAGATCTTTTAAACACGTTAAAGGCCAAAGGCTCACATTCGAGCTATCAAGGGTCTCGCACATAGACAGTAAGGTCTCGCAAAGGTAACGTTATTGCTGAACGTTTTACTATGCCTTTAAAGTAATTTATATTATATCTCATTAAACATAGTACTATTCATTCTCACACATCATGCCTCGGTGCATTCTGCAAATAATAGTGTATTTTTTAGTCGACTGTGGAAGGGTTAACGTAGTCGGTTAAATGTCGTAATTTAATATAAAACAAAGTTGAAATAAAAAAAAAAACATTATTAGATTAGATAGACTAGATTAGAAAGTAATTAAAGTTTTTTTCAACAATGTTGTCACTGCAATTTGACTAGTCGCTTTTTTGTTTATGTGATATTATTATAATCACATACATTTAAACTTTAGAAACAAAAGCAAGATCAACACAGTTTATATAAACATTTTAGTTTAACGTTATATAGATTTTAATCTAATGTATACAAGTTGTGGTCGTAAAAAGAGTGGCACTTTGCTGGATGTTTATGGTTTAAATCATGGGACTCCTCAACTTTTACTCCCAGAGATCCACATTTAGATTATTTTTTTTTTTTTTTAGCTTCAAATCAATTCTGATCAAACTCACCAGCATGCAGTCATTAACTGATTCAGCCAATAATATCTTGATTCAGCCAGGTGTGGTTGGAGCTGAACTGCAGGACAGTTTTAACCAGCAGATGGCAGGATTCTGCATCTAAATCAATATTCAGAAACCAATTTAAAAAACCATCTCCTCTTTTTTTTTAAACCAATCTTCTGTCACTACAATCCAACCTGCTCTTTAAGATCTCAAAACCCAGGGGCTTCTGGTACCAAGAATATCAAAGTCTACTAAAGGAGATCGAGGCTTTTCATTTATGGTTCCTAAACTCTGGAATAGCCTTCTTGATAATGTCCGAAGCTCAGACACACTCTCTCAGTTTTAAACTTGATTAAAGACCTATTTTTTAGTAAAGCATACACACAATGCATCATATGACAGTATGATACAGGAGTGTGGTCCACTATTATTTAATTTGGCTCTTTGCTGGATATTGATGCTCAAAATAATTTGTTTTTAAATTTGTTAATTATGGCAGTCCTCAACTTTTACTCACCGAGATCCACATTTAGCTTTTTTTTTATGCTTCAATCCTGATCAAACTCACCTGCCTGTAGTGATTAGCTGATTCACCCAGGTGTGGTTAGAGCTGAACTGCAGCACAGTTTTAACCAGCGGATGGCAAAACTCTGCGTCTAAATCTATAATCAGAAATATTCAAAACCATTTTAAATAATCTAGCTCGTTTACCTAACAAACCTTCTGTCTCGCTACAATCCAACAAGCTCTTTAAGATCTCAAAACTCAGGGCTTCTTGAGTACCCAGTTTAGCAAAGTCTACTAAATGAAGTCAATCCTTCTCATTTATGCTTCTTAAACTCTGGAATAGCCTTCCTGATAACGTCCAAGGCTCAGACACACTCTCTCAGTTCAAAACTAAATTGAAGACCTATCTATCTATTAAATAATACACACAATGCATCACATAACAGTATGCATGAGTGTGCTCCACTATTATTTAATTTGGGTCTTTGCTGGATATTTATTCTCAAGTAACTTAAGTAAATCATGGTAGTCCTCAACCTTTACTCCCCAAGATCCACATTTAGCTTTTTTTTTTTTTTAGCTTCAATCCTGATCAAACTCACCTGTCTGGAGTCATTAGCCAGGTGTGGTTGGAGCCTAACTGGAGCAGGGCAGTTTTCTAACCAGCAGATGGCAGAACTAAAATCAATATTCAGAAACTAGCATTACATAATCATCAAAGAAATTTTCACCATGATGTACAGAGGATACAACTACATTGTTTTTTAGTGTACCAAATAATCTTGTCAGGCATATTTAAAGCATCATTTGATAATATATTGAAAGATTGACTTGATTAACTAATTTTTGTTAGTTTTGTGTGTTTTGTGTGTTTTTCTGGAAAACAGGCAAATCATGCCACATAAATACAGCATAAACTTATTCAAGAAAGAATAAAGATAAAATTTGCATTATTAAAGTTTTTTATGTACAGTTCTTGACAAACTATAAGCTCTGAGTATTAATAAACTGAACATTAATAAACTGAATGTTATTGTTAAAAGATGCTAAACATACGGAACCCCGGAAGGGACATAGTGGGGGAGAAAAAAAATGGGTGGGTGAAAAAAAAATAATGGGTGAAAGAAAAAAAATGGGTGGGAGGAAAATATATATTTCTAAGTTTTTTGCGTTCCCTCGCAAAGATGTTTTGCGTTATCTCGCAAAGTTGTTTTGCGTTCCCTCGCAAAGTTGTTTTGCGTTCCCTCGCAAAGTTGTTTTGCGTTCTCTCGCAAAACTGTTTCTCCACAAACACTTCCTGTTCACTTCACTCACGTAAACCCTCCCGTTTTTGCTGAAATTCTCCCATATTTTACCATTCTGCCCCACTTTCTATACATTACTGTGCGCTGATTGTCGCCTTTCACTTTGCAACCTCTGAACCAGTGAATGCATGTTTAAGCGCTGACTGACAGACGCGCTTCGTACAATAAACTGATCCCAGATCAGCGTCTGTCCGCGCCATTTAAAGGGACACTTCTGTTATCAAACAAGTGAGCAGCAAATGAATCTCATGTTTTGTTTAGTTTGATAACAGAGGTGTCTCTGTAAGAATGCAAAGATCTATAATGAAAGCAGTCCATTACTTTAGAAACTGTGCTCATTTAAGAGAAAATAAGCTGTTTAAAATAAAACATGCAGGACGGAGATGTTTCATATTATTCAGTGTATTTGTCTGTTTAAACATACACCCGCTCCTCTGTAAATGGCGTGTACACACGCTGATCTGGGATCAGTTTATTGTACGAAGCGCGTCTGTCAGTCAGCGCTTATACATGCATTCACTGGTTCATAGGTAGCATACGCACAGTAATGTGAAGAAAGTGGGATAGAATGGTAAAATACGGGAGAATTTCGGCAAAAACGGGAGGGTTTACGTGAGTGTAGTGAACAGGAAGTGTTTGTGGAGAAACAGTTTTGCGAGAGAACGCAAAACATCTTTGCGAGGGAACGCAAAACGTCTTTGCGAGAGAACGCAAAACATCTTTGCGAGATAACGCAAAACATCTTTGCGAGGGAACGCAAAACATCTTTGCGAGAGAACGCAAAACATCTTTGCGAGGGAACGCAAAAAACTTAGAAATATATATTTTCCTCCCACCCATTTTTTTTCTTTCACCCATTATTTTTTTTTCACCCACCCATTTTTTTTCTCCCCCACTACGTCCCTTCCGGGGTTCCGTATAAACATGAGTTTCTGTCAGTTTTTTTTTTTTTTTTGATTAGTAGTAAAAATTCTTAACACAAACAATAATGTTCATTTACTTTTATTTATTTTTCATTTATTTAATTTTTTATTGGGTGAAAAATAAACAAGTAAAAATGATTCAATGGTAGCACAATTCCCTCCATCATGTTCCGCCTTGGGCCAAGTCTAGACCGATCAGGTAATTTTAACATATTGAAGGTCAAAACTGCACATTAAGGACAGGTCTCGGATTTTGTATAGGTAATATTACTTCTGAACATTTTACTTTAAAATAATTTATGAAATATCTCATTTATTACTGTGCTGTCTTCATTCAGATATAAATCTGAATACCTATATTAGTTAAAATAGTCAACATTCTTTACACAAAACAATCTTTGTTTTTCTTAAATCCAATTTAAATATTCATTAAATCAGAATTAACAAAATATACCTAACTATAATCCACTGAATTAGAAGTTTGCTTGTTCTCTTTAATCAAAACCCAAAAATTTGCTCTTGAATTTGCTGGACTTTTCCTAGTCCACCCAGGTTAAAACATCAGTCAGAAGATTACATTGGTGACTCTATTTTGAGTTTGCTGTGAGCAAATATTAGACTTTCAATATATGGCTGTGGATTAACTATAATATTGTTTTATAAAGTGTTCTGTTTAATGATTTGGTTGTTTTACCTTATAAGACCTAAATGTATTGTCGAACCAAGAGGATTAATTTTGATAATTTTTTTTCAGATTCCTGTCGGCCATTTTGACTTCTGAATCAACGGCCACTCTGTTTTCATCTGAGACTCTTCTCTAATATCACTGCAGACAAATGTACATCTTGAATGACCTGAGGGTGAGTAAAATAAACATTAAATGTAAGGAGCGGTTAAATCTGAATCTGGTAGAATCGTACTTTAGCCACTAGATGTCGCTGTCGACACAAACAAAACTTATGTGGCGTAAGAACGCCGTTTCTCTCTGAATGACAGATGGATGGAGGGATTATCTTGGTGATTTTAGGGAAAGATTAGAGGACAGCAGATGCCCTCTGTGGGTGGAGAGGAGCATAAGGGAGGGGTCATGAGAGACACGAATAAAGGTATAAGCAGAAAAACTGATGAGCAAACACGGGCATTCAGAGTGATGCTGAGAAAATGGAGTTTGGCTTTTATTATAACACAGATTCATACTAAGACATCACTAAAATGGGGGTTAAGTGAAAACTCTGAGTATGTTAACGGGATAGTTCACCAAAAAATAAAATGTACTCATTATTTTATTAATCTTCTAATGGTTCAAAATCTTTGAGTTTTTTGTTTGTTAAACAGAAAAGAAGATACTTCAGACAAAGCTGAAAAGCAGTAGGGCAGTGCGGGGTACAAAGTAACACGGGGTAAAATGTTACAGAGTTCTAAGGTATTT